TGGCTCGTTATGTACGATAACATCGCTTTTACTTTTATGCCGATTCTTTTTTATTACTTGACGGCGTAAGGACCATGTTTAATATAGCGCCGCTATATTAAAGGGAGATTTCGGTCGGAACGAGGAATAAAAGAGTTAGATTTTCTTTAGATAAAAATATTTAATGACTTCAAATAAAGAGGTACAAATGTACGAAATTCTATAATTAAATCGAGTTGAGACTTAAAATGACTCAAAGGCACGTCCGTGCTGTACGACGGTCGCGCTTATAACAATATTGTAGCTTTTTACATTTCAATTTCATTTCATACTTCAATAGATAAATTCAGTGAGTTTATACAAAAACAACTTTCTGGAGGATTTTTGTTTAGAGGAATTTTAGAAACTAGTCGAACAGAGTGAGGTTGCCACCTCGCTCTCCTTCATCGTCGACAACATCAATCTTCCAAAGCATTTTCCTTTTTTATTTTTAAAGCCTAGTCGTTTTTTTAACGAGAAAAATGTAATTCTTTCCACATCGCTGGCCTGGAGTGCAAAGTTGCTTTTAATTTTACAGGAGAGAAAAAAATCTTCTTATAGCCATTTCCTTCAAGTATTAGATACGAATACCACATTTTGCGTGTTTAAAGCAAAGCAAAACTTCGATAACGAATAAGGATTCCATCTTTTATAAAAAAATATCGATATTGTTATCAATAATTTATCGATTTTGTTATCGATAATTTATCGATTTTGTTATCGTCATTTTTATCGATTTTCTAAGCGATTTTTGTGATCGATTTTGTTGTCGATTATTTATCGATTTTGTTGTAGATATTTTTATCGATTTTATTAGCGATATTTTTATCGATTTTGATATCGATATTTTTATCGCTTTTCTAATCGATTTTGCTACCAATATTATTGTCGATTTTTCTATCGAAATTTTTTATTGAATTTGCCTTCGTTTTTGTTATCGATATTTTTATCGGTTTTTCAACGATATTTTGTTGATTGTTTCTATCGATTTTGTTATCGATAGAGTATGAATATAAAAATGAAGATAGATAGATGAAAATAGATATGTAACGTAAGTTTCACTTCTCCAGTGTGGTCCAGGCGCACTTACTTTTTTTGTATGTACATAGTTATCCTTTGATTGTGAACTTCAGAAAGCAGGATTTGGAATCTATAAGTCCTAAATCCAAAAAAACTATGAGGTGTTCTTAAGGGCAGTCCTGCGCCATCCAGTCCCAGAAGATGCCTCCATTTTGAGAACAGGGGTATTGCGACCTGAATGAGCTTTTGGATAAACATAGCCTTGCTTGGGCGATCAACTTTTCCAAAGCCAGCGTAATCAGAGATCATTGCCAAGGGAAGGATGTTTCACTTATAGTGAGGAGACCAGGTAACTAAAACGTCTGCAAACTCTGGACTCGCTGTAAATTCTAGTAAGGCGGAACTCGTCTTGTGCACTAGAAAGTATAAGATACTTTACCCTCAATCGGAGGCATTCGCTTGGCGCTTTCCGACAGGGCACTGAGATTGATTCTAGATCGGAAGGTTGGGTTGAGTTAGATTGTAGTGGCTGTCTTCATTCAAATTCTTACGCCCGAGAAATAAAACCGCGAAGTTATAAAAATCGAATTTAGAAGTCTACATATGTATGCATGTAAGTCTGCAAGACTGTCAAAAAAGTATTAATGAAGATAACGTTGCCAGCGTCACGTCAGTCATGGACAGTGGCAGAGAAAGTGTTCGACGCTTTCAATTCCTTCTTCGACTCGGCGGCATCGGCAGAAGTCTTTTATTGGAAACGCTATTATTCCCATTAGACAGTGATCAGTGCTGATTCCAACAGCCATCCTGAGTTGAGAGCGTTAAGAGAGAATGAAGGCGCTTGTCCTATCTTTGTCAAGTCTGGGTCAGATATTACGTTTTACCCCACATGTTGGTTTTCTGCGCCATCTGCTGTTTGCCAGTTCGTCAAAGTAGATTTTAAGGATGAAAGCGGTATACACAGCTGCTTCAAGGGAGCTAATTGTGGCATTAAGGAACATGCAATCATCTTCTTCACAATTACCTGGCATATATATATGTCTCCTGGAACCCAAATCCCCCTGTGGTGTTCTTGGATGTCAGGTCTTTTAGAACATATCTACATACATTTTTCCCATTCGTTCCTCGAGCGAAACTCTTTGGTAAAGCTATCTCCCAAACTGGAAGTCGGTGTCTCGTAGTCTGAATACTTAAATTTGGTTGGAAAGATGTCTGATATATGTTATGGGAAACCCTCGTGGAAGCCTAATATTGAGGAAAGAGAGTGGCAGGCATTAGGTAAGAGATGGGGGACTCTCTCCAAAGGTTATTTCCTGCCTGTATTACTTGAAACACATTGAAAATGATGGGCTACGCGCCACAGCTTCCAATTTGTTATCTTAATTATCTAAACGTTTTGACGATTGCGACATGAATTTTTTGAACGCGGGGGCGACATCATGAATTTGTGTGAGTAAATAAAAAATACGCTCAAACGTCCTATACGTATACAAGAATGCTAGAATCAAGGCGAATTAATATAAGGTGATAGCAGGAGTACAAAAACAAAAATTTACATGTATTTTGTTTTTGCTTTGGCGGCATAAACTGTCAAAATCTGTAAGAGTGTGTGTAGAAATTCAAACAAAATTTTTCAATTTGATATCAGAAGCCGTGCGGCGAAACACATACACAAAATCAGCTGAGCTAGTAACACCACCTTATATTAATTCGCCTTGGCTAGAATACAAAATTGCGCCCATGAGAGAGGATGTTTGAGCGAAATTTTTGCGTTTCGTCATCTTGGTGCATGTAGCCCTTTAGGTAAGTACGATTTTCATCACATGCCCGATGTTGGAATCATGGTTGGAATAATGCATGAAATTATATGTATGTATGTATGTAGATACAGAAAAAAACTTACTTACATATGTATATCGCATGCTTGCCTTTTGTTTTCACTTTTACAATTTGCCACTGCAGACTTCATTTTGCCTTGTAATGTTTCAATAACTGTGTAAAATTACGCAGAAATATTAACGCACAAATAGTTAAATTGGATCGGGTCACCCGTTCGGACACAATAGCCCGAAATCTTTGGACAAATAGTTAAATCGTTATTTGGTTTTCCTCAACCAACAATTGCACCAAGATGACGTCACGCACACAGCTGATTCTGTCAAATTCACAAAGAGCGGATTAACGGTACCGCGATGTGAACAATCTCTATTTCTCTCAATCGTGATATGTATACACATTTTGTTTTACTGTTGTTCTGCTAGTTTCAATCCAATGTGACATCTGCTAATTCTTCTTCTAAAATACCAAAAGGGTAAACGGCTTTAACGGTATGCTGCTTTCGCTAAATGATAAAATGTTTTAAAATCTGGCAATATACCTATTTATTTAGTAGAGTTTCTAACCATAACATCAGAGCACCAACAGCGCCATCTACAAAAACATTCTTCATTCTTCATCACGATCCAGAAAATAAAGGTCGCGCCATTCGCGGACCGCTAACCCTCTCTTCGTCGATTTGACAGCATCCACCCAATCGCCGACGTCATAAAATACTTTTGTTTACATTCACTGTTGCCAACTTGATGCTTTTCGCACCAAATTTAGTGGGTATTCAAAACGCAAAAATTTTTGAGTTTCGTGCTTGGTGCGTTTTTGGTGCTTTTGTTTTTAGTTTGAGGACACCAAATTAGAAAATCTTAAAAAACTGGAAGCAAAATTTATAGCAAGTGTGGTAAGCCACTTTACAAAAATTTTAACAAAATCATGGCACAGTGACATAAGCGACAACAAAATATGTGGCAGCACCTTCAATCATGCCAGAATAAATCGACCGTCGTGCAAGAAACATTGATTTTTATTAATTTGAATCGGCATCCTTACAATAAAATATGTATGTATATAAAGTTCATAAAATACACCAATAAAAATTTGGTGCTTTTTCAAATTCAAAACTTGGCAATACTGCCTTTTGTTCGATGCTTCCTCTTTTTCTTGTCGAGTTCGTCTTGCTCTCTCATTCTGGTATTTATTGACGTCACGGCCAGTTGCTCTCAGCTCGATTGGCGCAATTTTGTATTCTATCGTTCTTGGCGTCTACCATTCAATTGCTTTACTCTTTGCTGGCGCCAAGAGCGTGTTGCAGGCTAGTTGTGAGGAATGTGCATACGTACGTATGTATGTATGTATGTATGTACATATCAACATAGTTACCAACTTGGTGCTTTAAGCACTAGATTTAGTGCTTTTTGAAAATTAAAAGGCCCAAAAAGATTATTTATGGCTTAGTGCCTTTTTTAGTGCTTTTTTCTGAACTAAAATTACTTCGAGATAGTTAAAACCTGATATAATTTGAAATATTTAAAGCTGCGCCAGCACTGGATTTATAAGAATCTACAAATTTAAATGGACTAAAATACAACCATGATTGATAACAAGCAGAAGTTGCAAACCCACCTTGTTAGTGAAAACAGCGGAAATTTTTTTGTCGATCGCATTCCGAATGTGAGAGATAATAAATTTTTTTGCTTTTTTCACTCGCGATAAAAGAATGCAAAAATTGATTTGGAATATTATCGTTCGCGAGCGTGAGAGAATGTGAGTGAGAATTTCCGAACCCTGGTCAGCACCAAAAGGAAAAATCAGTAGGTGTAGTGATAACACATTAAGGACCGGTTTCTCCATCTCTGGTTAACTCTAACTCCCCGGTTAAACATTGTTATCGACGTTCTAACGCCATGCATATAACAGGGAATCGATAAGGTCGGTAACGATGTTTAACGGGGGATTAGTGTTAACCGGAGATAAAGAAACCGGCCCTAAGATGGACGTAAGAAAAAAAACCATAGCAATACTTTTGGGAAAATAATTTTAGCCTTGAAATCAATCGTAGTATCGCTCTTGTAAATAATTCATCTGATCTAAAACTTATTTAATTCAAAAAATTGTTATATTATATTTTATAGACCCATGGTCACCTATTCCATCCACCAACTGAAGAACACCACAGAAGCGAAGAAAAACAAGACCTTACGAAGATACCCGGCGTCCCTGGCGTAGATTACCCTATTTACCATGAAGTGCCTCATACGAATTTCCACTGTGCCAATGTACCTGCTGTGCCGGGAATGTATGCAAATATTGAGACCGGGTGTCAGGCCTACCATGTTTGCCACGATGGACGGGAAGGTCATCAAGGTGCTTCATTCCTCTGCACCAACGGCACTATTTTTAACCAAAAGGAGTTTGCGTGCGACTGGTGGTACAACGTGAAATGCGACGAAGCGTTTACCTACTATCAGTAAGTTTAGCTTTACTAATGCCTTCGTTATTAAAAAGCATCGTCAATAGCACTGTGATCTTTAAATGCATTTTTGCCCACTTTGCACGATTGCATAAAATATATCATATAAATATCACGGTGCTACAAAATGGAACACAAAATACGCCCAAAATAAAACTTATAGCGTTTTCTTTTCTCAAAAAAAGTTCTGCCCTTTTATATGGGAACTCTTGCTTTGCGTTGCCCTAAAACCTGAGAAAATGTTGCGTTCTTTATATGAGAATGAAACAGAAAATATACTACTCCACCACAATTTATTTATAGAACTTAATAAAGCTGAATTATTCACTTGGCCTGTAAGTCTTTAACAATTTTAAAGCAAAACACTTATTTCAGATAGGGAAAATACTTGCATTTTTACAAGATTAAATTAAAAATCAACCATGCAACTCTCACCCTCACGACGCCTTGTGAAAGCGCTGAGAAAAGAACATGAAAATGTGACAGCGCTAACACAAGGCAGAATAAGTGCAGCATTTTTGCGAGAAAAGAAAACGCTATTATAGTGTAGCTTGAACGCAGGGTTGAGTACAACATGAAACTATATTTCGTATAGTTCATTAACCCTCCAATTGTATTTTATTATACAAAAAACGCTATTTTCATACTTGATGTACCTTTCCATTAACAGCTTGACTATTTTTCATCCGATTTTGAAAATCAGAGATTTTAAATGATGTATAACATTATATTGTTAGCTTGTTTTAAAATTTAAAAAGCCCCTATAAGGGTCAACTTGTCAAATAAGGTTAAATTTACTATACAAAGAAATAAGCAGCATGATTTTTTCAACCAGCGTCATTTTCGGGGTTTCCATTTTTGCGATTTGAAAATTTTGAACAGGAAAAGTTTTACTTAAAGCATTTTCAAATTATCGTAATTTCAGGCTCATTCTTAATTCATAAACAAATCAACATTTGTTGTTAAACATGTAGTTAACAAATTTTGACTCTTGTATTGCGCTCGGTTTCTGTGTCTTTTAATTATGGTCTCCTATACGTTCGCGGAATCTTCTTTCTATTTTACGTCCTGTTTGACCTATATAACTATGCTGGCATTTGCAAGTTAGTGTATACACTCCTTGTGTATCCATTGGGTCTTCTTGATTTGTGATGTTCCGTAGTATCCGTCCTACGTTGTTATTTGTTCTGAATGATGTGTTTCTGGAACAGCTTTGCTAGTTTGTACGTTGACTATCCAGTATAGCTTAACACCGCCCTTCCCTTTTCCTCTACCAGATCTCTCTTGTACTCGTTATTTGCCGCTATAGCATAAATTGCATTCAGTTATTTTTGCATCCTTTTTTTGTTGGTGGTATTCGCTCAATTTTATGCTGATGAGGATAGTTCGAAATATTATGAGTATTATTGTATCTGTGGCTGTGGGCTTCCCAAAAATTTTCACATTGCAGACTGCTGGTGTTTCTATTTATTTTAATCGTCAGATCTAAGTAATTTAGCTTGCCTTCCATTTCTTGTTCCATTGTGAATTTTATGTTGCTGTGCTGTTTGTTGAGGTATTCCAATATCTGTTCTTCATTTTTCTTTGTTATAAGACACCTGGGGGGCTACTCCGTAATGCGATGCGAAAGAGAAATGCGATGCGATAGCCAATCCCCACAGCGTATTACTTACGACGTATTTGCCCCCCTTGATGTCATCAACGTATCTGGCATAGAACGTCGTTCCTAGTTGTAAGATACTCCATGTAGATCAGTGATTTCCAAAGTGGTCCCCCAGGGGGCCACGAAGTTTTATCTTGTTTCGATGTAAAGAACCAAAATGGTTGCTTGATAGCTTCTTTATTTAACTTAAATTTTTTTAGTGGTGTATAGTGCTCTTGAGGCACTGCTGCACTTACCGTCAGTTAGTGTTTTTCTTGTAGACTAAAAAGAACTGGATGCTAGTATGACAATGAGTGGGGCGCGACGAAAATTGCTGGCGGTAGAGATTAAAGCACTTCTGTCTTTTCAATGCTACAGGATAGTACGCCACCATTACCTTTATTGATTCTAAAATGTTGAGTTCCTTGAGACTGAATGCTGGTTTGATTCCATCGCTGATACCGGACTCACACATTGTCGATTCTTCACTGATGACTCCAAAACTGGCTCTGGGTCACGATCTGGGGTCTTTTTCGAATTTAATGGAGATAAGCTTCAATTTTCTGTAGGGGAATATGCTTCGGTCTTCCAGGCTGAGGTAATTGCAATACTCAAAGCCATGGACTAAGGGTAGAACATAGGTGGAGGGGAAAGAGTTTACGTGACTGCAGTGACAACCAAGCTGCACTTAAGGTATTGACCAGCCATCTATTTAAGTACTTCCGAACTAGTTCGGCAATGCAAGTCTCGACTAAAATATGATGGTGAACATAACGAGGTTGTTTTATTCTGGGTGCTCGGTCACTCTGGAGTACCTGTTTATGAGACATCTGATCATTTAGCCAGAGTTGGCTCAGACCAGGCATTCCTCGATCCGCAACCAGTGTTAGCACCAGGGTTCGTATTTGCACACACATGCTCAGCTCGCGCACATGCCAGGAACACATTCAACTTGCACTCATTGCTCATACACACGTGTGTGCATTAGTGGAAAGCAAACTCTGCTCACAGCAAGGTGTGTGCTGATTGTTATTAAGCGCATGCACATGTGTGTGAGCCGATTTTAGCACAAATTTCTGCTCATTCNATAAAAAGTGATATGTTGTTTGTTTTTATATGACAGAAAGATATTAAAAAATTATTTTAAGACTTGAGTTAGAATTCGAAGTGTATGAGTTTCCTCTAGGCCCCCTGGTGCGAAATAAAGTCAATTGACATTATTACCTTTTCAAAAGCGAAATAAAGTCAACAAAAATTTGGAAATAATGTCATTGACGCTATTTCCTCATTCAAATGGAAATAGCGTCAATAATGCTTAAAGTATGTCGATTCATAGAAAAAAAAGTTGTTTTTACAATAAACATTGCCCCGTAAGTGTTGTTTTTTAATAGATGAAAAAGGTTATTGCCAAATTCTCAGTGTTGTGATATTAACACAAATCATGAACTACAGCCAATTGATTTTATTAAAAAAATTTTAATTACGAATATGTAAAAACACGATGCGAAAAACTAAACGCCTGCGCACAGCTGGAATACATGAAATATTTGAAGAAAGAGTGTAGAAATGATCCGTAACTTGCAAAACATGTTTCGTTTCCACAAAAATAAAGCGAACACTCTTAAATATAAAAAACAGTCCATGTCCAAAAACCCCGGAGGAACACTGAAAGAATTCTGTGTTTTAAATTAGCATATTTTGAACGAATTCGGAATGTCTAAGGTGGAAAAGAAACAACCTTCCTATAAGGAAACAATTATAGAAAAAGAATTTTCTTAAACTGTATTCATGTCTCCGCCAACAATATGTGACGACATCATTTAAAAGCAGCTAAGGAGAACGACGACACTAGTTATTAGATGGCACTTTCAACGAGCCAATGTGCCAAAATGCGGGTATAAACAAATATTGATTATTTAATATCGGAACCAAGATCATGTAAGTTAATTAATTGGTTTTCACACACTTTCGAAACACAAGTTATATGCTTTTTACCTGCAGACAAGTTGTTGCCCCAAAACTCAGCAGAAATCTTCCAATCAGGGCTGCCAACTATCCTTAGTTATGAGGTGCCATATTGAGGATAAAAAAGTGCCAAACTGTGCCAAATAGAAAAATAAAAGTGCCAAAAAACGTGTCATTCCTTTTAATCATTCACATTTAGCAATAAAATAAAGCTACATTTTCCAAACAAAAGTGCAATAATAAAATAAGATAACCCAGTTGAATAGCCTTTATAAATTAGAAAATTTTAGTTGAGAAAAAGAAGTGCACGCAAAGGATTTCACAAAAATGTAATGAAATGTTATTTTTTTTACAAAATTTCCATTTTGGCACTTTGTGCCCAATTGAAAAATTAAGTGCAACTTGAAGTAAAATAGGGACAAATGTGGTTTGAGCCAAGTTGGCATCCCTGCTTCCAATAACTTACAAATATAAAAATGTGAAATATCGAGGGCTTTCCACTTATTTGACGACAAATGCCACTGAATTTGACATAGTGAAAAACAGCCCTAAGTATTTGGTATCATTCTTCAGGGAATAAAGCGTGCTTTAATGATTTAATGATTTTTTGTGTATTTTTAATGAAATCAAGTGAAAATTGCTTAAGAAGTTGACATATTCAAATTGTTGAAAATTTTACTCGCAACGCAGTAATTTTCCGATCTGCAGTTTAGGAATTTTTTCCTAGCAAGGACCTATTAAAAAATACGGACTTGAGTTACATGTTATATTCAGATTTAAAATTAGCTATAAATATTTTATTTGAAATAACAGGTTTCAGCAATAACTTCTGTAATAAAACACAAATTTTGTTTCGTTTTTTTAATTTCGTTGAAGGATTCGAAGGTTTTCTCTGCTTGCACATTAGGTCAAATGATTACTTTTTCTGTGCAAAATTAATAGCAGCTAAAATAACGCATTATATTAATGTAAAAGGAACGAAACCATTAAAAAAAGTGTAGAGTCGGTAAATAAAATGTAAAAACATGATTTGGCTTTTGTAAAACAGATGATGAGTATATGAGTTTAGGTAGTTCTCAAAAACATTGTCCAAATAGCTTGGTTTTGAAACAAGTTATTTTCTTACCATACTCAAGCCGGAGCGGGTTGAGCTACATAAATAAAATAAGTATGGTCATATGTACATAAATGGATTCATCTAGGGAGTAAAAAAAAAATATTATCGAGCGTCATTTTCGGGGTTTCCATTTAAGCGATTTGAAAATTTTGATCAGGAAAAGTATTTTTTAAAGCATTTTCAAATTATCGTAATTTCAGGTTTATTCGTAATTCATAAACAAACTAGCAATACCCGGCGCGCGTTGCTACGCCAAAGAAAGACACATGTATATAGAGTTTTGAGACTGAAGACCTTTTTATTTACGTTAATGCTAACAGATAAACAATATTTTAAGTTTTTTCATTTGGTGTGTAAATATATAAATTTTGTGGTGACCCAACTCGTGAACAGGCGACGTATAATTGGCCATGTGAAAAGCACATTCAAATCCAAACCCGCTATAGTTAATGATTGCCCTTGTTCTTTATTTATAGTTATTGCAAAAGCAAGACGCACATCTTCCCATTTGAATATACCGCTGATGATTGTTGCCTCGATCAAATTCGGTGTTAATTTTTTTTTTATCACTGGTTGCGTTGCACAGTTTTGGCGCATTCAAATTCCGAATAAGCATCACTGGTGATCCAACCTTTAACGCCAACGAATGAGGGGGCATTCCAGGTGGCTCCAAAGAATTAAGAAATTCAGTTGTGTAATTAACAGCTTGATCTTTACCCATTACTGCTTAACTGATTTATATTCGACTGCTTCTCCTAGAATTTTCAATTGAATTTGACCGTTTAATTTACTAACATCATCGTTCTTCGGGGCTAAAATTGCACGTTTTGAAAGTGTTTGATTGCTGTCTAATGGTAATTTTTATTTTACAAAAACAAAGTTAAGTTTCTGTTATTTTGGAGTATTCCCTAAAGAATCGCATCAAAAAATAATATAAAACTGCGTTTACGAAATTGGACTTTCGCACAGCCAAATTAATCATTTGACCTAATGTGGCTTGGTTATATTTATACCTTTCATGAGCATGAAATGGTATTATAACTTTGG